GTCCAGATGTATCTCGCGATGCTATTCCGGTCATGCACGATTGAGATCGCTATACCAGTCTCTGCTCGGGCCTGTGATGCAACCACTGGGGAATACATCACGAGTGTTTTCCCTTGCCCAGTGGCTACAACAAGAAACAGGTCCATGCCATCATTGAGTTGGATTGCATGCTTGAGCTGGAATTCTCAAAGTGAAGGAACATGACACATCTCCTTAAGAATTTGTTCGAGCTATTCAGGGGAATTGACAGAAGGGTTAGGGAGGGTATTAGGGAATGTGGTAGATGTAGAATGAGCCTTGGAGGGCATATATGATAAATTATTGTGAAACGAGGGATAGTTAGGTGCTTTAAGGCATTCAAGAGATAAGAGAGGAGCCAGTCGCCGTCTATTTTGGGATGCAGTCATGGCAAGCGCCTGCCATGCCAGTTTGGCCATCACATTTTTCAAGTAGCGCTCGCCCCCCCTTCCACCCCCCGATCTAATTCCAGACTCTACATCCATTGAACAACTTTTCTTCATATGGATTGTTGAGTCTGGTTTACAAGACTACAAAAGCTCTTAATATTTCTGCTGCATTGCACACCATTTGCAACACTTGAGTTTTATCATGCACTGCAGCATAAAGTATGAAAATATCAACGAGTGTTTCGATACCAAAACACAGAGTTCGGTAATTTCTTTTTGATGTATGCTGCAAGTATGTTGATTTTCAGGTGTGCGGGATCAGGTTCCATACAATCCACTAATTCATTAGAATTTCAAGTCATGTTTGCCATTCAGATCAAATACAGATAAGTATTTTCCCTCATGGCAAACTTGTATTTATTTTTATTTGTTTTATGAACAAAATGTATTGATATATCTATGGAGGGTGCTTACACTCCAGAATATCCCCTCTCCAATGTGATGCCTGATAAACGGTGGAAACACCCAGGAGATATTGAGAATCCGAAGAAATATCTCGAACTCATCATGTGCCTTTGACCACATCTTGCCAGCTGATATAAGCCCATTCCAGGAATGGTTGCGGGCCACCAATCCCACTTTGGGAACTTCAAAAACTCCCCCATCCCATCTTGTGAAGGCAGAATTGATCTGTGAATATCCACAGACCCCACTAATGGTTATGACCTATCATATGAAGGGTCTCGAGCGTAAGATGGTGGGCTTTTCTCTTGTCTTATTGTCAATGACAGGAGCGAAATTTTGTATGTGGGAATACCATCTCTTGCCATCAAGGTGGATGCATTGTCAGCTGGAAGATGCAGCAGTCAAGATATCCAGAGAACCGTGCAATCACTGACCTTTCCTTCGTACTCATATCCCCTGAAAAACTTGTATCCTTATGTTTCCACACCCTCCTTCACAACACACCGTTGTTGCGACTGCAGCCTATTTATGCGTGTAATTTTGCAATCTAGAGTGTTTTACACGCATACTGAGAGATAGTGAGTGAGCGGACTAAAACTACGTGTCGACACTAATGCTACACGGTGCAATGATATGGAATATAACTTATGGCATAAGAAGCAACGGGATTCTAAACAGGACTTAGTCACAGCACTGTACCTGATGGGCATGCATGATGAGAAGGCCAAACCCTATACCCAATGCCTTAGGCTCTAACTTACAAGCATGCTCGCGGGAGCTAGATAAAACCTTGACAATTGGCAGTGACACTGAGAATACTTAGCGCGCTCGCTAACTGTGACACATCGTACCTGAAAATCTGGGGAAATCCTTAAGCGAGATGACAGATATCACCAGCACGAGCTTGGGCAATGGGCTTCAGCCGAAGTCCGTGAGCCTGCATTCCATTGTTCTGAGTCCCATTGTTCGAAGACTCACTTGTTGCCATGTCTACGAGAAGCCTCTGTGAATCCAAGAAAGAAGTCCTGAACAACATATGCCAGAACTGATAGTTCCGTGCGCCTAGACCTGTCGGTCGCTAGAGAACAAGCCCGTGGGTGTCGGGAGAGCACCTCTTGGCACGCGTTTAGCGAGCTCACTATAGGAATGAGACTAAAACTGGGAAGTCCGACTTGGATGCTCAGTAAGGCAGCAGTGGCAACATGCTATGCATGTAGGAGTCTGGGTACTGCGCAATGTTTGTAATTCTAATTCCCTTGTAGTATAAGTAGGCTGGTTACAGTAGGTAGAGGCCAAGTTTCGAGCCCCCGAGTTCCCGTGCACGCGTTGAAGGTGGTACTGTAACAAAGGATCAGTTTGTGACTTCGAGCTGTGCATAGAATTAGTGAGCTCACTCAGAGAAATATGAGATACCCTTTTGATAAGACTTTTGAGAACTTAGTCAGAGTGAATACGAATCAGTGAAGCTGCTCTGTTCCATTGAGTGTTGATAAGTCCATTTGGAGTATGTTCTGAAGAGGAAAAGTGAGATCTGTTCTGTTCTGTTCTGTCTGTTCTGCATCAGTTCTGTTTCGAGTTTCCGTTTTCTGAATCTGTTTTCCGAGCGCTTCTGAAGTGTTCTTGAGTCGAGATAATCTGCTGGAGTTAGTTGGAGAACCCCTACATACAGTTGTGTAGCGAGCGGGCTAAGTCAGTGCTTGCCTGTGGTGTTCTTTTAGCGAGCTCACTAAAGTTTCGGCATGTATTGCCTCTGTTTCTGTTGGGATCGGTGTCCCTTGTGTATTATAACTCAAATCTGCCTTGAAGGTTGCGTTGCACCAGTGAACGACCTTCCTGTAAAAAGTTCCTAGACTTAGGAAGTCATTAGAGAAAGCTTAGCTTCGCTAAGAGCGCTGAGAATAAGATAAACTCTTCGAGATATAGAAGTATAGTTGGATCACATTAGAAATAATCGCTCCCCCTAGAACTTACAAGGGTGATTGTAGTTTGTGTAGTTGTGTGAGTGTGTGTGTGGGTTTTTGAGGTTTGCCTTTTAGCCCGCTCACTATTCCACAGGTGCCCACAGCCAGCCTCTTCACCGTTCTGGGACAGCCCTGTTGCAATGTGTGTCAATGAACTTCATCTTGCTGGGGTTCTTTGTGGTGGAAAGGTGCACTTCTCCCAGATGGACATTTCAAAGAGTTTCATGAAGACTGTTTTTCCCATTCGAGACCGATCTAGTCTTTCTCAACGAGAGGCAGACGATGCAAATTTCACCTATAAATTCGAAGACACCAACACTATATCACAAGAGCTTTGCATCACGTCGAAGCACATTCCATTCTCGCCATCATTCTTGTTCACGGGTATCCTCTGGAATCTGGACACCCAGGCCATCTCTCTACCATCTGAGAAGCAGGAGAAAAATGTGTCTGTGATCCATAATTGGTTGTCAACAGATGTTCATGTCCTCTCCGATCACCCGTGTTGTTCCCATGGGTCTTGCAGTTGCCAGTGACCATCCTTTCCTGCCACGATGTGCATGAAAATGCACCATCCCTCCTCTCAACTGGTGTTTGTCCCAATTACTTTCCAACCCCTCTCCTACCGTACCGGGGCCATGTTCAGTCATCGATATCGCCGCATTCTCATATGCAAGTTCCGGTATCGGAATCACGATTGTTATCGGAAACAGGTGGTCAGCCTTGCGACTTCTACCAGGATGGAATTCCGGAAAACGAGATATGCAATGGGCTGAGGGACTTGGTTTCGAATTTCTTGTACAAACGCTCCCAAAGCAATTTAAGTCCGACGATTTTATCTCTCTACTAGATCCAGTTTTCCCTTGTTGCCCAGAACTCTCAAATTCCCGTGTTAAGCTCCATGAAGACCGCAAATCCATTGTCGAAGGCTGGTGGAATGGCCACCACCGCAATACAGATGTTAACAACATTTTCCGATGAATGTGCAGTTCCCCTACCTCCAACGACCTCCATGTCAACACAAGATATATCACCAGTGCTGTCAATCCCGCTGATGGACCCTCAAGAGGCACTTATCTGTCCTCCTCACTGGTCCTACCCCCCATCTCAATACCAGATGTTTTGCTTCCCCTCCTCGTCGGCTTCGACAATACGACTTCGTTCTCCTCTCCTACTTTGTGAGGATTATGTACCATGGATGCATCTTTCAGACTCCTACAACATTGGGGATCCATTGCATGCAATTCCCTCTTGAAAGTCTATGTGTTCTTCAGGACAACCACAGTTTTCGCCCAAAAATCTAGTCAATTCCTTACCTTGTGAAATAGCAGGATTGTTCTTATCTGTAACCCAGTCACTCGATGAGATTTATGACTAAGCAGGCCATCCAGCTTGATGTCCCAATTTCAAATTCTATCATCGAGATCAAAACAGGCAATTGGGTCTAGACTTTGGAGTTGCACCTTGGCTTCAGAACTGCCAGAAGCGTGTTTGCTGCTGCATATCTGGTGTGCAATGCATAGAGTCAAGGTGTGTAAGTGCTCGCACCATTTCCTAGGAAATTTCATTACTGTCCCCGAAGGTATATAGTCACATAGTGTTTCTATGATGCACCCCTCTTTATATTCTTCATAATATGCCCTGCATTATGTAGCAATATGTACGAGTATCTCTTCTATATGAATATGACCATGGCTCTATAAGCGCTATGAGTAGGCTTTTGAAAATTTCTTTATGGTAAAAATAACTTAATTATGTAGCAAAGAAACAATCTGTTACATACCTTGTGCAGTGATTTCCTTTTGTAGTTTTTTTTTCGTCTTTATGTGACGTTTTGCGTCTCCTTGGGTCTTCACTGAAGCCATACATTGCCCAAGGCCAAATTGCTCAATTTGGACATGATCTCCTGGAAAAACGTAGTCATGGCAATTGCCGAACGGCTTTAATTGGACCCGATTTCCCACACTATCACTTTTCTCTTTCGCACCAACATGTCGATTGACCATTCTTCTCCAGTTGAAAGCCCTGCAGGTATACACTAACTGTTCTTAACATCGAAGGATTGGCCTGTGCTTAATTTCTTATTTATGAAGCAACAGGATACACTGCTGCGAAATGGTCCTTATTGGTCTGGTCTGTTCCGATCATTTGCTGAGCATTCCTTGAGATGCCTTTGGATCCTGAACAATGGTTTCATCTGCGATCGATGGAAAGTGATATAGAGTTAAAGTTCTTGCAGTTTGGGATGGCCATGGCCCGGTCCCTAAAGTCAATTGCGGATGAAGGCTGGGAGAAGGTCAAAGGGGGTAAACCAAAAAATCACATTGACAATATTGGTGGTGGTCGCAATGCTTCCAAGTTTGCGGGCCACCTTGAGACCCTTATACTCGTGAGAGCAGTAGATATCACAGCTGGTTTTCTTCGCCTGCCTACAAGGTCTTACTATCCAAGCTTCCAGAAGTCAATAAGTCTTGACAAGCGTCAAATGGGGGTATATTATATCTAACAATGCCCTATAATGCTTTCTGACTGACCCTCGTCAATCATGGCCTCAGAAACTAGCCGAAATTCAGACTTCCCTTCGCATGTATAAGGAACGCGCATCAACGCCACTTCCTCCCTTGGCTCCGGGGGCCTCCTTTATGCAGGAGATCTTGCATGGCGATGTTTGTTTTCTTGTGCATCATTGGAAGCACGAGTCAGCCAAAAATTGGCTGAAGATACTGTCTGTGTTGGACGGAGTGGCTTTTCACATCCAGTTACTTTGTTACATGGGTTCTGTTCTTTACATAACAATTTGATTGTATTCTGACAAAATTTTTCTTCAGCACAGTGGAGTTGAGCAAACGACACATTGGCAAAGGTAGGAAGCTTTCGATAGTCAAGAAAATATCCTGACCAATTTCAAGGTTTATCAATGAGAATTTTAATCACCCTGACATCCAAACGATTATGGGCAATGAAGAGACATTGAAGAAATTTAAGCAGAGCCTTCCTCGTTGGAAGCAAAGCTTTGCAAATGCCATGGCAATCTCTCCTCTTCTGCTTATTATGGGACAAGGCATGGGTCAGACATTAAATACGTCCCTTGCTTTGCAAGTGAGAAATCATTTATTACTTTCAGATATTCATCACTTACATTTTCTTAGGTCGGTGGAAGGCTGTCTTCGATTGGAAAACCAGACCTCATCGTACGAGTTGAGGAACTCCTTTGGCATTGCATTATTGGTATCGCTTGGGGTTCTTGGATGAGCAAGGTTGGATTAATGGACTTTCTCGAAGCAATCAGTCCACTAATCAACAATATGAAACCTTTGAGGGAGAAGCAATCAGGTGCCACGCCTTGGGATGAATTTGATGGGGAGGATACGTGGTTCAAGCGTGCTATTCACTTTATCCAGCAGAATGATGTCGCAGGTTTGGGTGCGAGGGTGGGTGCTGAGATGATTGAATGGCTCAGGAAAAGCAGGAAGCGCTGGATTAAGCGAGGGGGTCACAAGATGGATTGAATATGAGGAGAGAGAGCAAGATCCCGCTCTCCCCGTAGAGTCACATGGTTACAGTTAGAGACTCAAGGAAGGGCGTCAAGCCTCCCTCGGTTCCCTCCATCTAAGGCTGCACCCTTCACGCCTGAATCAATACCCAGAATTCATCGAATCTTAACCTATTGAGTACACAAATGGGGGCATGAAAACTATCCGAACTTCAGAGAACGACCCGAGTTGTCACCCCCATGGTGCAATGCACCAATAATGCCCCTTCCGACGGTTCAAGATATTGATCTGATATCCGTGCAGGACATCATCATAGGAGAGCTTCCTCCCATTCGGAAGGAAAGCTCTCAAAGCTTCTTTCCATTATCTTGACAACAAAAAATCCTACATGAACGAAGACTAACGCAAGACATCCACTCAAACTGGCAGAAGTTAATGTTGATGGCACCATCCATAGGAATGACTACGGTTATTCCATCAGTCTCAGGGCGAAAAAGGGTGCAATCCGAAGCTTTTGGCAATACTGGGGACACTCTTTTGTTGAAAAAAACCAAGCTCGATCGAGGTCTCTCTCGTTCTGGGGCAAATATCGTTTCTCCGATCCTTTGGGATCCAAAGAGAAAGGAGTACACTTCTTGCGATTTTTTTCCCCTCGGAAATCTTAGATATTCACTTTTTATTAGGAGCTTGATGATCGAATCACCATTCATGGTTGGAATGATTGCATTGTTAATGACAAGACAGGTAGTCCCTGGTACAAGCCTGACACAGGAAAGGGCTTGGAAGAATCAATGATCGTGACTCTGAGCTTTTCCAATGCAATGAAGAATCCTATGGCGACCCTGGAGACCTTCTGTAACTACCACATATTCCTTTATGGCACAAAGACTTCACCTCTCACCTGGTCATTGAATGACCTATCTAAGGTTGGCAATGTCGATATTGTCTGAGAGGTCCAAGGTTATGCTCACTCCTTCCGTGAAATATTGATCCTTACGCTCCACTAGATCATCAAAGGTGAAGCTCCGACCAGACAAAGGACTATCTTCACGTCAATCTTTCCTTATGCGAAATATATGAGGAAGGCCTGGAAGATGAAGGACGTGTTTTAAACGCACTCTCTCTGCCCTGCAGCACTTCTGAAACTGGACACCCTCTACAATTGTACATTGAAAACCTTAGCTCATTTCATTTTGGAGGCTCATGAATGTTAGGATTGTATCAAGCCACATCAGAGCCTTTGAGCAGACATCTGACCTTCCAGAAGATATCTTCGACACCAGTTATCCAATCTCAGCAACAAATTTCTGGTTAGTCGTGATGAAAGGAGTGATCAGTTATATTCATTCTGATTGTCATGGTGTTGGTACCTTCGTGGAAGTTCTTTGTGGGCGGAAGTTGTGGTACGTGTTTCAGCATCATGGGAGTCGAAGACAAGACAGTCGTATAGATGAGTATATGGGTGATTGGGCGCCTGGATTTATTCTGGATCCTAGGGAATGGGAGGCCAAAGTTGTTTTGCTGGAACCCGGCTCTGCCTTGTAAGTTCATGCTGCAATATGTTGAAACATTCTAACATGAAGGAAGTTATATGTGTCCAGATACTCATCATGCTGTTCTGACGCTCGAGAACTGCATTGTGAGGGGCGGTCATTTCTATTCCACCGTTACCCTTTCGAAAACCGTCTCGGGCTGGGTTCATACATGTATGCTTGGGTACAGGATCATCAATGTTGTACACCCGGAGCTTCATCAGCTCCTCCTTTGTATGATGTGTTACTTTCACACCGTTATTGGTGAGAAAGGTCCTGAAAGTGAGCAGTTCTAACTAGTGGCATTCTTTGCTTTTACCAATACTACTAGCTCAAGACACAGATATTCCCAGTATAACAAGAGACGGACTGCTCGAACTCATTGCGTTGGGAAATCTGTGTATATTCGGATCAGCCTTACTTCCTTGCATCCTGCCAGACTCTGCCGATGCCATGAGGCCCGCAATCACCATGGCCATAGGTGCCTACATATCCATAATCCGGTGTCTGCGGGTGGATTTTGGTTTAGTTTTCCTTGCAGAAAATAATGCCGTTGAGCCCTCCATCAATTCCACCATCCTTGTTGACGACAAATTAAGCATCTATGCTTGGTTTCTCAACATTGGGGATTTTGCTAGAAGCTCCGTGGCTCACTTTGGGCGTTCTTTGATCTTCTACGCTTGAAAGGCTTTAAGAGTGTGCAAGGCTCAGGGAGAACATGAATCCCTCATGTTTAATTTTGATTCATTTCGTCAAGATGTTGCAAATTCATTGGAGACCTTTTTGCAAATGGAGCTGACCACCGACTTTCTCCATGCATACAAGTGACGGGTGGCACGTTTGCATGTTAGGCCCATATTTTTGGTTCGCAAGAAAGTTGACCTCCTTGGTAAGTGGGGAATTTGACACATATGCTAATCTAACAATCACAACAGATCCGGGTGCCTATTTTGACTGGAATACAGCCACTGATTTTGATTGCTCTGACATTGAAGATGATATAGATGATAGTGATGGAGATGACCGTGAATTAGGAAAGAAAGAGGATGGCCGCGAGAAAGAGGATGGCCACGGCAGAGATGACAGTTGGTCAAAGGACGATGACAGTTGGTCAAAGGACGATGATACAGAGAAAAAGAAGGATGCTCCTGAGGAGCTTCAGGAATCTGACGTCGAGTCAGAACCAATGTCAGGTGAGGATGAATCTATGCACTCGGAGTACATGCCAAGCAAGTCCGTTCTATAATGCCTTTGTATGAAATACTTGTATGCGCTAAGGATGTGTGCTTTTTCGTGACAGCCTTTGGCCAATTTATGTTTCTCTTCTAACAATTTCAAAACTATGTTTATTGTGGCTAAAGTAAAGCAATGACTGTCAATCATACTAGTTTCTGCGTTTTTTGCCCCTTGCAACATGACTCAAGTGCTAACCTGCACTCAAAATATATCTGCGCATTCTTGGATTCCACCCCTGTCATGGATGAGCTTCCAGGCTCTGTACATAATTACATTACAGGTTGCACTTGCTGTTTCAAAATATACATTCCAAAAAAAAGGAGAAAATCATATTATAATTGGGCCAGAGGCACTTGGGGCTGTCCAGGCAGGGATGCATTTCACGATGAGGTCGTCTGCTGGTACGACATATAAGAAAAGGTGGCAAGAAAATTGGTGTATACTGCCTACCTCGTCCATGAATAGACCATGTTCTCCTTCTCTGAATCTGAATCTGGTCTAGATAGATGCTCATTTGCTTGAATTTGAGTCTAAGTCCTCACAATTGAAACAGCTCTGCTATGTGGCACTCAAGCTGGCATAATTTGGTGACATATGGTAAGATTGTTTCCATTGATGTGATTTTGGCCAAGTCGTCAAGCAGGAGCTTGATAAGATGCGTCGGACAAAGTCTTCAAAAGACAGCTTATTTGCAGATTCAAGAGCGTCAGGACTGAAAGCAAAGTCCTCAGAAGCGACATCAGGAGATGGTGATTCATCTTCAGTCGAGACTGTTTTCAGGCGTAAAGAAAGGATGAATTTATGGGCAGAATAGTAATTGCGTTTAACAAAGCTTCATCGCTTGCTGGGCTCTGGGCTTCCCTGGCTGTGTGTCTTCTCAGCTAAGTGGTCGCTGAGTGCATTGCACACCAGATATGCAGCAGCAAATATGCTTCTGGCCATTTTGAAGCCAAGGTGCAAGTCCGAAGTCTAGACCTATTGCCTGTTTTGATCTCAATGATAGAATTTGAAATTGGATCATCAAGCTGGATGGCCTGCTTAGTCATAAATCTCATCGAGCAACAGGGGTTACCTATCCGACTAACTTGGTATGCAAATGAGGCTACTTTTTGGGGAGGATGCTGTGAATCTGATATAATCCTAGTATAAAGACCGACACAAAACCTGCCGCATTTTGATTGGTCTCTATATGCTAAATCCCCCTCTGCAAAGCACAGATTGTATTTCCCACACAAATACAACGTTGACATATCAGTTCTGTAATAGTCATGGTCTCTGCCATCGATAGTCCTGGCATTTCCTAGCATCCGAGTGCAATACATTGGGAGAGTGGTAGGAAACTGCAGCACAGGCAGTATGTGGGAGCGAATAGAGGGGAGGGAAGCGAGTAGCCTTATCGATGTCAGGACAGTTGGCAATCTTTCGAGCCCTTGAAGGTTGACTATCATTACGCAAAAAAGGACAGCTGAAGGTGTGACCAAATCTAATGGAGCAAGCTTTGCTGCTTGCTTGTGCTACTTGTTATATACAAATTATCGCCTTCCTCCCGTAAAGTGCACGACATCGCTTCTTACACAAGGATGACGATGAAAAAGTGCTAGATGTCTAAGTCATCTTCACATCATAATATCATATTGCAGAAATAACACAAGGAATTAACCAAATTATGAAAAGAGAAGAGCAACATTTCCAATGTATTGAAAATACAACAGACCAGTAAACAAAGCTCATAAAACTGTATTCAATCCAAAACTGTATGTGAAGACACAGAAGCCAATATAACAGAGCTGAAACTTTAGTTTTTCCCGGCGTACTGAATGCTAATGCTGAGGTAGACTCTACCTTCGGTGGCAGTGATGATACGGTGAACATCCAAGTCTTCTAAGTCCATGAAGTCTTCGGTTGTTTCAACGACCATGATTGCCCATGGACGCGGGGCATGATGCTCCTCACATATGGGAGTGGGCTCTTCATCCTCCACACTGATAGCAATATCAAGCTCCGAACGCAGGGGTGAAAAAATTACTCACTGGGAGGTCTGTGCTTCTGCAGCAGGACTCGGGTTCTCAATACCACCTTCCCTAGGGCTTGGAGCCTTTACGCCCAGATTGTCTTGCTGCAACGGGGAAGCGTTAGCAGAGGACTTCGACGCCAAGTTGGGACTGTCACCAATGATATCAGACAGCATCTTGATGGGGAAGATAAGACTGGTGTTGCACCAGATGGAGGCTTTTATTTCACCGGAGGCAATGGCTGAAATGATCAGCATGCAGGCATGTATTTCGGATCAATTAGATAGAAGACGTGTTATCAACCAACTAATAGTTGACTTAGATCGAACTAGGATCACCACTCGCACTTCGGTGGATGATACTCTAGCAAGTCAAAGGCGACGTCAAAGTCAGTGGAGGGCAGATAGACACAAAGAACAGAGTTTGAGTTGGGTGGATTAAACCTTAGCCGAAGCTGGGGTTTAGGCCAGCTGAGGCGCTACTTAAATACATGTGGGTAAACTAATAATAGTACTGTGAGAAACGGTCCGTGGTGATCGTATATGAGTAATCCTGCTGAGTAAAATGAAGAAAAATGAATAAACCGTAACATTACCCCCTCTCTAAGACTCGTTCGTCCCGAATGAGTCATCAGACCACTGGTCATCCTCGGAAGAGGAGTGTCTGGATTCTGAGTGAGAGAGTGATGATTCATTGTCATCGTCCTCATCACTTGAATCCCAATTTTCTGCTACTCGTTGTAGATGATTGAGGTCCGGATCGTCGAAGATGGTGGGTTTCGGGAGAAAAGGTGGAACAGGTTCGTTTGTCATATCTGGGTTTTCTTTTACCCATTTTTGATTTTCCTCCTGTAATTGATGGTTCATAGAGTCGGCAATTTCTTCAACCAGCCTCTGGAACGAGGACATGACCGATACGGGTCCAACCTTTGTTTTCCCTTTTGCGACGTACGTATCGTCGAGTGCGTTGAGTTCCTCTGAGTGCACGGGGGCAGAGCATTGAGATGAATAAACGGTAATTGCATCTGAAATGCATGGCGTATGCGGGTCATGGTACTCGATGGTATTGCCTGGTGGTATCTTGTCGTCGATCCCAACCGTCTTTCCTTTATCATTGACCTTCCACGTAATTTTTTGGATACGGGCTTCATACTCGTTTACGAGTTCTTCCGCATTAGCCATGTCGGAGCGCTTCACCCAGGAGTTCTCTTCCATCGGGTATCCCTTCCACTTTACTAGGTACTCGGTGATGGTTCGACGGGTTTTTCCGTGACCGATGACTTTTTCTCGTTCACCTACTATTTCCTCAATCTCATATTCTTCCTCGTCATCGATTAATTCCGGGGGTGGTCTTCTGGGACGCGGTTGGTCTGGGAATTCGGGTGCATGATATGGGGTTAGGAGGGATTCGTTGAAACGATTGTGAATCTTCCATCCTACTGGAAGTTTGAGTTCGTAAGCGGAAGCCCCCTTTTTGGCTACGATAATGAAGGGGCCCACGTGCCTATCCCCAAATTTCTTGGTGGGGCGTGGGAGGTGTAAGTTGGTGGAATCCAACCATACCTTATCGCCTCCCCCTTGTGCTTGTCATAGGCTTTCTTCATTGTGTCTGCCGCCTTTTCGAGGGATTCCTTGGCCTTCTCTTGCACTTCCTTTATTCCTTGGACTAGCTTTGACGCAGCGGGGACAACGTCTGGATGCTGGGTCATCTTAATAACTTGTCCATCCCTTCCGAAAACCACCTTATAAGGGGAGAAACCGGTCATGGAATGCTTCCGGTTATTGTGGGTGAAGGCCGCTAGTGATAGCCATTCACTCCAGTCGTCTTGCCGGTAGTTAACGAACATCTTGAGGTATTTTTCGATTTCCTGGTTCACCCGTTCCGTTTGCCTGTCCGTCTGCGGGTGATACGCGGTAGAGGGGTTCCCTTCAACCTGTATTAGTTCGTAGAATTTCTTCATGAACTTCGACACGAAGATGGCTCCTCTGTCTGAGATGACTTTCTCAGGCATTACTCCATAGGGTACATAAATGTGATCCCTTAGGATTTTGGCGAAGCCTAAGGAAGTGAGTTTCTCGGTGCATGCAATGGGGACAATCGTTTTGGAGAACCTGTCGACAATCACGAGGATGGAGTCAAACCCCTTGGAATTTGGGAGTTTGGTGATCATGTCGACCGATATATGGGTCCAGGGATGATTGGGTACTTCATTCGGATGAAGGGGGGCCTTTTTAGGGTGACGGTCCACTTTGGTTCGCTGACAAACCTCACACCCTTTTATGTACGCTTCTACCTCCTGGTGCATACGGGGCCACCAGTAGTCTCACAGGACGAGTTCTTTGGTCTTCTCTATTCCGGGGTGTCCTGCTGTCACATGGTCGTGTTAGAGGGCTATGATCTTCCCTCGCAGTTTCCGGTCCACAGGGACATAAATGCGCCCATCGTACCAGAGTAAGTCCTGGTCTCTGGAGACCCCTTTCTCATGGTTGAGGGAGTCTGAGATTCCTCAATCCCACTTGCAGGGGTCATGGGTAGCCAGTTTAATCTCCTCGTGCAATTCCTCCTGCATTGGCATCACTAGGGCCTGGAAGTGTTCGGCCTTTAGGACTGTTACATCCTTGTTGTCTTCCTTCCCTTGATCGTGGTCTGCTCGTCGGGATAGTAGGTCAGCCTTACGGTTTTGAGCTCCTGGTTTGTGGTGTAGCATAAACTGATACTCCGCTAATTCCATCACCCATCGAGCCTGTCGTCGATTGAGCTTTTGGGGCTTACGAAAATATTGGAGGTTGGAGTGATCCATCCAGATCTCAAAGTCCTCCTGGGCTCCCATGAGATACTGGCGCCACTCGTCCAGGGCTATCATGATAGCCAAAAGTTCCTTGTCGTAAATTTCATAATTGCGTTCTGTGGTAGCTAGAGCCTTCGAGAGGAATGCCACGGGCCGCCACTTTTCGTCCTGCCATTGGGACAGCACCGCTCCGACCGCTCCTTCGCTGGC